CCAAAGTGTTGACAACTTTTGAGACCTGCATATATAATATCCCTTTCCCTAGATTCCTGTAAGGTTTTCTGTTGATCTTTAGGATATGCTGTGAGGTTCATCTATTTTCTAGGATTTTTGCATAGGTGGGAGAATTATTATATTTCTGGATGAAAACTCAGAACTATGATTGTGCAGAATAAGTCCATGGAATGCTATGTTGACTTCATGTGCAGCAGGCTGACTACTGTATAAATCTTACACGTGGCAACCTGGGAATATAAATCCCGTCCTTCAGTTTCAAAAACACCTCTAGCTAGTGATGTGCTGCCATAATGTTAACAAGGGTCTGCTTCCAAAATGTTGTCTCAGTCAGTGACGCATTCAATAGTCCCTGGGTAAAATACTCTCCACCTCTGTCCCACTGTATCAGTTCCCCACTCTTTCCCTTGCTGGTGGGGGTGGGGAGAATAGGGGAGGAGATAGGTTTCAAAGTTCTTCCAGCTCCTGGCTGAGCAGGAGCAGGTGGGCAGCAGCAGGGAGAATGGTGGGATGCAGTGGCTTCAGAATTGCTATTGATGCTTCCTCACTGACCACCCAGTTTCACCACACAATAATGGAGGCTCCCTGCAGCACTGCTGCTTCCTGAGTGAGCAACATTCAGCTCAGTACCTGCCTCAGAGGTGGCTGAATGTTTTTCACAAGTGGAGCCGGCCTTAGTCCTTTCAGACAGAGTGCAGTTTTTGTTTTCACCACTCCCAAAAACATACTGCTCCCCAGTCTCTCACTGCAGAAGAGGAGTCCAGCTGCTTGTTCCATTTCAGCCTCATCATTGGCTCACATTGATTTCTGAGTCATATCTAGCTTCACAGGAAAAGAAACTTACTTATTAATAAATGAAACTGAGATTCCCTCTCACAGGGCCCGAAGGCCAGATCTGTTACAAGGGGACTTATGCAAGCCCGTTCCAGTTCATCATGGCACTTGAAATGATGCACTTTGTAGCAGAACAACATAAACGTTAGTCAGCTCAGGACCTTTCTTTTGCAATCTGTCTCCCCTTCCACTGTCTTAGCCCATTATAGTCATTGTCACTTGTCTCCTCTTATCTAAATAGACGTTAAATTCTTTTAGTGCAGGGACCATTTTTCTGTACAATGTCTAGCACACTGTTGGGCACTGTATAAATATTCAATATTTACATCACAGACCAACGAGTAGCAGCATGCCCTGCACTCCTGCGGAGAAAAAGAATTTGAACCAAGATGGAGGAGACAGACACCAGTACCAGCCAACACCTAAGAGCCAGCAGAGTGTTTTCTACCAAAATGAAGTAACAGAAAATCATACACAGGCAATTCACATTCATGTCTTATATGAGGCAAACAACCTAGCAATGCCTAATGCTAGGGAGTTGAGGTCTGCCACACCGTGCTTAACTTGTGCCAGGGCTTGCCAGGACTGAGCACCGGCACCTCTAGGCTCGGCAGTTCACAGCCCCAGTACCTCTGGGGTTGCCACATCAGTTATGAAAGCAAAAAAATGGCTTGAGCTCCAGCACCTCTTTCATTACAAATTAAGCACTGCTGACACAGCTACAATACAGACATTGGATGTTCTCCTTAAAAGAGACACTTAAACATTACATTGACTTTCTTTTGCAGGCTAATTGACTTCCTTATCTGTCCAGATAGACACTAAAGACTTTGAAAGTGAAAAGAAAGACAAAACAAAAATAAAGTACTGCTCCTTTATGAAATATAAAGATAGCCTCAGAGTGTTTAAAAACATGTTCCACATGTTCTTCACTTTAGAACAGGGGTCAGCAACCTTTCAGAAGTGGTGTGCCGAGTCTTCATTTATTCACTTTAATTTAAGGTTTTGCGTGCCGGTAATACATTTTAATGTTTTTTAGAAGGTGTCTCTCTATACGTCTATATATTATATAACTAAACTATTGTTGTATTGTAAAATAAACAAGGTTTTCAAAATGTTTAAGAAGCTTAATTTAAAAATAAATTAAAATGTTGATTCTACGCCGCTGGCCCAGTCAGCCTGCTGCTGGTCTGGGGTTCCATTCACCTAGGCTGGCAATGGGCTGAGCGGGGCCTGCAGCCAGGACCCTGGCTGGCAAGGGGCCGGCAGCCAGAACCCCAGACCAGCAGCGGGCTGTGTGGGCCCAGCGTCTGGGACCCCAGACCGGCAGTGGGCTGAGCGGCTCAGCCCACTGCCGCTCAGGGGTTCCATTCGCTGGCTCCTGCCAGCTGGGATCCTGGCTGCCGGACCCACTCAGCCCGCTGCCAGTCTGGGATCCCGGCCCTGCCCACATACAGTGGGTACCTACCTTCTCCCTGGTTCTGGCCCATTCTCTTTCTCTCTCTGCACTGAGCTGAGGGTGGGAGTGCACTGAACACATGGATGGGGGTGAAGGAGCAGGCTGGGATTTGGAGTGTAGGGTCTGGCCAGGAGCTAAAATGAGGAAGGGGGCTCAGGGTTGGGGCAGGAGGTTTGGGTGTGGAGCGCTTACCTGGGCAGCTCCCATTTGGTGCAAGTGGAAATGTGTGGTGGAGGGTGCAGGAGCTCCTGTTTGGTGCTCAGGGTAGGGGTGGGGATATGGGGTGGGGGTGCAAGAGTCAGGGCAGAGGGCTAAGGGCATGTGACGGGGGTGCAGGTGTCAGGGCATGGGGTATGGGGGGGCCTGT